GAATGGTAATTTATTTATACTCTTTTCATTTTTAGGTCATGATTTTAATAACAGAATCTTAGGTATATATATTGGTTGTATGTGTTCTGTTCTCTGGCTTTCCTATGGAAGAACAGTAGATGTGAGTAGGGCTATTTAGAAACAGACTTTATATGTAGGACTAACATCAATTAGAGGTGAAACAGAATTTTTGTAGGTACTCATAGATTTTTTTCAAACCTTTTTTTTTTTTTAACTCTTTAAGAAGAGAACTGCCCTGTCGGGTGGCTCATTTAGTTAAAGCATTGTCCCGTCCACCAAAAAGTTGCCGGTTCTATTGCCCGTTAGGGCACATACCTAGGTTGTGGGTTCTATCCCTGGTTGGTGCGCATATCGGAGGCAACTTATCGATGTTTCGTTCTCACATCAATCTCTCTCTCTCTCTTTCTCTCCTCCGCCCCCTCTCTATAAACTAAAAAGTAAACAAACACACATTTCCTTGGGTGAGGATAAAAAAAAAAAAAAAAGAATAGGACTAAATTCCACAGTTTAAGTTGGTTGACAGGTTTCTCTTCTATTATCTGCAATGATACCATGACAATTTTGGTCCTCAGTGAAAAACTGTTATATGGTTACAAGTTTGTTGTAAACATTTTAAAGTTTATGAATTACCCATAAAATTGCTACATTATTGGAATCTTCCTTCTAAATCCATATGATAAAGGTAACCAATTTTTACATGGAATCACCAGAACTAACACTCTTAATTTTTTTTCTCTCCAAAGGAACTTGATGCTTATTTTATACTAGTACTCAACATTTTCAGTTTGTAATTAAGTATCTTAAGAAGTGTCAATAATAAAGGAAGCATTCTTTAAATACTTGAAAACTTGGTCATAGGTGCTATTTGGTGAGGTCAGTCAGTCTCCATATTCTTAAAAAGTTTAAGATATTTTTCTATCATATTAAAATTGTAGTGTGACTTGAAAGTAGCATGATTATAAAAGGAAAATAATCAACTTTTGTTTATTTTAAGGTGTACTGTTCTTTAGAAAGCAATAGATATTACAATTATTTTTACAGGTTAACTTTTAAAACAAGGCTTCATGAATTATATAGTCTATTTTCAACTACTAAGTCAATTTGCTTGTTATTAGTGATATAGTAATGACACTTCTAAGATCTTGAAGATTTATGTATTTTATCTAGTCTTTAAAAAACCTTTGTTTTAATTTCAGACTACAAAAATATATAGATTCCTTAAATGTTACTATTTTGCCACATTTTCACATTTGCATTCTCTTTCTCTTAAAACTGTTCTTTTCCCTGAACTGAGAATAAGCTACAGACATTTGCCTTTATATACTTTAATGTATATTTCTTAAACAAAAGGGCATTCTCTTTCATAACCACAGTATAGTTATCTAAACCAGAAAATTAACAATCATGCAATAATAGCATTGAATTGTAGACATTACTCAGATTTCATCAATTTACCCCAATAAAGTCCTTTATAATAAAATAAAATACTAATCATGTATTAACTTTTTTACTGGAGAGAGAGAGAGAGAGAGAGAGAGAGAGAGAGAGAGAGAGAGAAACGGATTTGTTGTTCCACTTACTTATGCATTTATTGTTTGCTTCTTGTATGTGCCCTGATCGGGGATAGACACCCAACCTTGGTGTATCAGGGCAACACTCTAGCCAACTGAGCTACCCAGCCGGGCCTGATTATGTATTAATTTCAATTGTCATGTCTTTTTAGACTTCTTTGAATAGATCATTTGTCTAATCAAAACCTAGTCTGTGTTTCTGGACACAATACTTTTGAAGAGTATAGATTAGCTATTTTGTAGAATGTCCATCAATTTGGATTTGTCTTAAATTTCCTTGTGACTAGATTAAAGTTGTGCCAGACTTTTTTAAAAATAAAATTGTATAAAATGTGATTTTACAACAACAAATCACATTCCTGTTTATACTCTGAGAATAAATACATATTTATTTGTCATATTTGTATTAAAGAGAATACTCATCTCCAGTTTCCCAGAAGAAAAGACTCTCCTAGGAGATTTTATATGTATTTCTTAAAGAGCAAACTTGGTTTATTTATTGAAGGTCTAATTAGATTTGATTGTTTATGTAATCACATAGATTATTATAGCATTTACTGAAAAAACAAATACAATGTACTATAGTATTGATCTTCTCTTTTCACAGTTACTCCTGAAGGCCCACAGAAAGGACAAAATTTTTTTATTTCCTTAGATGAGCTTGAATTCTTATCACAGCTTATAAAATCCTTTTTGAAGCTGGAAAAAAATGTTCAAGAATTGTTTGAAGAAATTTTTTTATCACTCAAGATACCAAGGAACAATAAATCAGGTAACATGCCCTTTTGTTTAAATTGTAAATCTATTATTCTCCCTATTTTTGCTTCCAGCTACTGAATCTATACCATTACTTGAAATTTTTTTAATAGAATTCTTTAAAGAAACATAAAGCCTGAGAGAAACATTAAGTAAAGAAAATTCTATTAAACCATAGAATTACATTTTTATCCTTTACACATGGCAAATTCCATAATTCTAGTTGACAAAGCATTATAAGTCAATTCCAGATAATTGCCTTTAACTAAAATCAGATCTTTTTTTTTAATTCGAAGAAACACAGTCTGGCCTATGAAAAAAATAAGCAGACTTAATGATCTAGTAGCTCCTCTTCTACTACTAGCAGCTGGATGACCTTGAGCAAAAACATTTAGCTTCCTTAAACCTCAGTTTTCTCATCTTCCCAGTGATGGTATAGGATGAAAATACATTTCTCTTTGTTTTCTTTTACAATTAGATGCTTTATATTGCAATATGTTATGTAGGGCTATGAGAATTAAATGATTTATTGTATGTGAATTCTTTAAAAGAAACTCTAGCATGTCATAAACAATAAATGTGTTGTTCTAATAGTAATCAGAATTATATAATATGTTACTTTAAGTTTAGTATAATAAAATCTTTTAGAAGAAAGTGTTGGAAGAATGTTTCTAAAATTAAAGGTAGAATTCAAAGCCATAATATGTTCTGTGTGTTCATATCTATACTTATACAGATTTTCACCTACATCAGATTGAACAATACAAAATTATCTTTTACATGATACCATATATCATTTGAAGGAATAAAAATAGATAGTGGCTGTATTTGTGAAACAAAGTTAGGCAAGCAAATGAATCTGAAATTTCAGAAGCTGATGTCTTAGAAAGGAATTACACTTACTTTAATATATTTACTTTTATATTTTTAAATTTACTTTGCCTGGGTAAATAATGTTAGAAAAGTGATAGGGTTAAAGTATGTTTTATATTAAGCATAGCTTACTAGCCTTCTATGTTTCAAGTTAAGTTTAAGTAATACTATTAAGTTATAAAGTAACTAATGTAGAACACTTTTCTAAATTTGGAGATAATTTGAAGAAAAATGGAGATGGATTATACTAGTAGAATTTGGATGCTGACAAAGAAAAACAATGAAAAAATAAAAATATGACACAAAATATTAAAGTTAAAAAACAGAATAAAAAAGTAGATTTGATTAGGAAATCATGTGAGCCCTAGATGGTTTTCTAGAAGGAACTGACTGGCCATGGAGAGATCTGAGTAAAGAAATATGACATCCTAATTTTTTATTGCAATGTTGATTTCTCGAGTGGTTGACACTTGGTATAGATACTCATACATTATTCCTGGCTAAGATTTGCCACCCTCATCCACATCTGTAGCAGATCTTTTCTGAGGTGTGGATAAAGAAACAGTGCATTTCAACAAATCTAGATCCTAGCCATTTAGTCTCATCTTGTATTGGTCCTAGGCCAGACCTTAGAAAATTTAGGTCAGTTCTGAGAACTTTATTCCCCTTAAGAGCAACAAAAATTGAAAATTAGAATTGTGTTAGAAAGGTATTGTAAAGATGTAAAACTGCCAAGGCCAAGAATTGAAGCAAAAATTTGTCATAGTGATTTCAGAAAAAAAGAAGAAAAAGTGGGTTTGACATCATTAGATTAAAATTAAGCAATGTTGAGATTTGGCAAATGCTGTATATTTAAGAATAACAGTTGCCATTATTGAATAAATCAACAGAGAAAATATATTATTATGCCATAATATTACTGTCTTATTCTAAATTTATCATCATGGCAGATAAAAGCAACTTCAGCCCTAGCTGGTTTGGCTCAATGGAGAGACCATCGGTCCTTGGACTGAAAGGTCTTGGTTATATTTCTGGTCAAGGGCATATACCTCGGTTGCAGGATCGATCCCCAGCTCCATTCAGGGTGTGTGTGGGAGGCAAACAATTGATGTGTCTCTCTCTCACATGAATGTTTCTCTCTCTCTGTCTCTCCCCCTCCCTTCAACTCTCTCTAAAAATCAATGGAAAAATATCCTCAGGTGAGGATTTACAAAAAATAAAATAATAAAAATAAATACAGTGGGGCCTTGATTTACGAGTTTAATTCGTTCTGAGACTGAGCTCGTTAAGGAGCTCATTAAGGAGCTCATTAACTCAAATTACTCTGTCAACTCAATGCAACAAATCGGCGGAGAGACAGCTGGTATCTCAAAAACTCGTCAGGACACTCGTAAGTCAAGGCCCCACTGTAAAAGCAACTTCAATATCACATTAATAATAGTGTACTATAGAAATATATTTGTGGATTATTGAACATAGTTTGGAATGAATTTTGAAGGACAGGAATAAGAAATGTCTAAGTACTAGAGCACCCCTTGTGATATATATCTTTTTTATTGTTAAAATTTTTATTTTTTTGTAACAAAGCCAAGATTGATTTAATCTGACATAACTTTATGGCTCCCTGAAAATAATGATCTTGGAGGAAATTGTCAAGAAAAAAAATGTTTTATTGTGTGCAAGCCAAGCCAATCAATTTTTATCAAAAACCTTTGTTTCGTAAATCAGAAAGGAAAAGATTCCTTGAAATGGATGATTAAAAAAACCAAATGTATCTTAAGTTATCCTGATAGTGCATCTTTTGCTTCAAAATCTTGTGTGGGAGAGAATGGGGGGAAAAGATCAAGTCATTTGGTTTCCTGTGTATTTCTTTGATTGGAGCATATTTTGCTAATAAAGATCTTGGAAAGAGTTACCTACTATGTCTATGTAACCAAAACAGTGTGATGAAAGGTAAGTTTTTGTGTGTATTTTTTTATTGTCCAGATGTTTTAAAAATATCCAGGTGCTTAACATCACATAAAGAAAATATAAAGATGTTTAACCAAATAATTTACTTTTTACTTTGATGTTTTCTACTATGTTATTGAGTTAGTCAAATTGGCAGTGTTCTTAGTAATTTGAATGTGATTCAATAGATGTTATAGAGACACAAATTTGTTTTTGAGAAATAAATGGTATTTAGTTACATTTATTTGCTTTTATGGGTCATAATTTGATGGTTTTCTATTTTGGTCATTTCAGAAAAAGATAGGACATTATTTGACGGTTACTGTATTTCTTTTAGGTGATTATATCTTATGAAGTAGCTTCAGGTTTGATTCTTTCAAAATAAAGTTGTTCTTCAGGCAGTTCCTCAAATTTTCCAAAGGTGGCATCTGAGATTTATCTAAACCAGGATTTCTTGGCCCTCATTTTTCTTTAGCCCCAGCAATGACAAAGAGCAATGGCTGCTTCAATTGGATGTAAGAAGAACACTTAGGGTTTGTCTCAGAAGAATCAAAGATTTCAGATCTTCTGAAAGATTGTTTGTACTCTTAGGGGGTCTTAAGAGGGGTCAAATGGCTTCTAAGAGTTCCTTAGCTAGATGGTTAAGGGATTGTATTAGGGAGGTGTATGTAGTTAAGGTAAAGAGGCTCCTAGGGTTTGTAAAGCTCATTACACTAGGACTTTAGCTGTTTCTTGGGCAGAGAGGTCGAAGGCTTCCACATTGGAAATTTGCAAGGTGGCCACCTGGGCTTCTCTTCATACCTTTTCATAGTATTATCTCTTGGATGTAGTCTCTTCTACAGATTCAGCTTTTGGTGGGAGGTTGCTTGTGAGCCAGAAAAGAGCAGTGAAGAAAAGAAAGACTTGTAGTTCCCACTTAGAGCCGCCAACAAGGCAAGTTGCTTTGTAGTACGCACAATGGGAGCCTATGAAGACCAATTTGGGTGTGAAAGTGGATGTCACAGGGAAGTACTGCCAACCTCTACTCTCCATGAAAGAAAGCAACAGTGTGGGAACTAACCAGAAGTGTAAAATGAACCACAGTGAACTCTGTGGGGGAGGCTGCTCAGCAGCTACCATTCCTGTGATGCTCTGCCCTCTACTGAGGGCCTTTACTTGGGCCTGCTCCTAAAGAAATCAGTGTTGACTGCATGCAAATAACCTGTATTTTAGAGCATTGAGTCCAAAACGGGCTACCTTCTCTAGACGATGTGAATAAGTGAATAGGATTTTTAACGTATCTTTAAATAGGTGAAGTAATTTGTCACATGTTCACAGAATTTAATGAAGTTTGACAATGTGGGATTTTGAAGTTGACCATTTTGAATTCCAAACAAATATAAAATGCCACAATTTGTTAAAACCATGAGATATTTTATTAGTGTAGAGTCAATGTTACGAATCATGTCTTAAAATGATTCTTTTTGCTTCTCTATCTAGGATTCAGTTTTTTAAAATCTTTTTTTAATTTGGAGGGAGACTATATTATAAAGATTGTCAGAATTGTTTGATAATTCATTTTCTATCTTACTACAGAATTGCCCATCAGCAAGAAAGGCTTGGGAAGCTTATCTTCTTATTTACTAATCTTGAAAATAGGCAGATGGTTTATGTAAATATCAAAGCATGTTACTTTGAATGAATAAGCGTATTGTATTTAGAGTGTAACAATAAATATAAGATAATTAACTTTTTTCATAAACTTAAATTATAGCTACACAACAGCATATAGTTATTTCCAGATATAGATTTGCAAGCTTATATTTCAAACTAGTGTTATTATTCTAGAGTAAATACCTTTTAAATTGGCTGGTTTTGTGAGCTATCTGTAGAAAAGCAAAATGACATTAAGAATCCAGGTGTTGCTCCTTCATGTCATTAACTTGATCTTCATTATTTTTTCTTCTTTAAAAATGTTTTTTGAATAATAGTTCCTCATATGGTAAAGCAGTTAAAGAGGACAAAAGAATATATGCTGAGAAGTATGTCTATTGCTATTCCAGTTGTCTAGTTTCACTCTCCAGAGGCAACTACTTCCATATCTATCCCTATGTTAAAATAAAACAAAATCTGTACGTACTATGCAGAGATTCTTTTTCACTAACAGTTATGTAGAGACACCTCATTCTTTCTAACAGCTGAATAGTTTTCCATTGGTGCAGTTAACCAGGTACTCACTGATGGACATTTTGGGTTTTACTTTCCTGTTTATTTGGGACTACAAACAATGATATGGCAAATTTTCTTGAACGATGTCTTAATATTGCACATGTATATCTGGATGATAAATTTCTGAAGTGGAATTGTCAAGTAAAAAAGTATGGCCATTAAGAGGATGAAAATACTAACCATAGACTGAGAAAACTATTTGCAAAACACATATCTGATCAAAGACTTGTATCCAAAATATATATATATATATATACTTTTAAAATTCAACAAGGAAACAAAAAACTCAATTTAAAAGTGAGGGGAAAAAAGTGAGTCAAAGATCTGAAGAGACACCTACCAAAGAAGATATACAGTTGGCAAGTAAGCGTATGAAAAGATGCTCCACATCATATGTCATCAGGGCATGCAGATTTAAGCAGGAGAGCACACTACACACCAATTAAAATGCCTAATGCTAGAAACACGAACAGTACCACTTCTGGCAAGGATTTGAAACAACAGGAACTCTCATTCATTGCTAATAGGAGTATAAAATAGTATAGCCTCTTGGAAGACAATTTGGTTGTACCTTTCAAAGCTAAACATTGTCTTATATGATCCAATAATCATGTTCCTAGCTATATACAAAAATGGATAGAAAACTAATGTCTACAGAAAAATCTGCACACGAATGTTTATAACACTTTAGTAATAATTGCCAAAGCTTGGAAGCAACCAAAATGACTTTCCTTAGGTAAATTTGATAAACTATGGTACATCAATACAATGGAATGTTATTCAGTAATAAAAAGAAATGAGATATCAAGCCATGAGGAAACATGGAAGAATCTTAAATGCACATTGCTAAGTGAAAGAAGCCAGTCTAAAAAGCTTACATATTATATGATTCCAACTATATGAGATTTATGACATTGTGGAAAAAACAAAAGTATAGGGACAGTGAAAAGGCCAGTGGTTGTCAGGAGGAGAGAAAAGGAGAAGAGAGGTGAATAGGTTGACCTTAGGGGATTTTAAGAATAGTGAAATAATTCTCTATGGTATAATAAAGGTAGATACATGATGTTATGCATTTGGCAAAGCCCATTGAACTGCACAACACAAAGAATGATGTGCAGAATCTAAAAATGCTCTTTAATTTTTTTTAATTTTTTTAAAGTATGGATATTTTGAGAGTATCAAGTCAATTTTTTATATCTGTTTTGCTTGCTAATGCAAAATTGTTTATGTGATTTAGATCTTTTGAAAAAATAATTCATATTTTTAATAACTTTATAGTTTCCTTTTTCTTTTAAAAAATCTTTTTATTATTTGTATTACAGGCATTCCACATTTCCACCTCTTACCCCCTCCTCCAGCCCCTGGCCCCCTGCCCCAGTCTTTCATTGCCCTATTGTCAGTGCCCATGGGCTATTCATATAAGTATATAAGTTCTTTGGTTTATCTCTTCTCGTCTCCTCTATCCCATACCTAGGAATCAACTTAACCAAGCAGGTAAAAGAGTTATACTTGGAAAACTCTAGGATATTGAAAAAAAGAAATAGAGGAAGATGCAAACAATGGGAACCATATACCATGTTCATGGATTGGAAGAATTAACATCATTAAAATTCCATATTACCCAAAGCAATCTATTGATTCAAAGCAATCCCTATTAAAATGCCAATGGCATACTTCACAGAACTAAAAAAAATACTCTAAAAATTTTTAGCAAAAAGATGAAACTAGACCACTAACTTACACCATACACAAGAATAAAATCAAAATGGATAAAAGACTTAGATGAAACCATAAAAATCCTGGAAGAAAACATAGACAATAAAATCTCAGACATCTCACATAGCAGAATTTTTATCGATGCATCTCCTTTTTCTTTACTTAAAATCTTTGATTAATCTGGATTTTATTTTAATGTTAGAATTGATCCTTATTTGTATGAACTATCCTCTTCTTAAGAAGACATTAAAATCCAAGTCATAGAGAAAATATTTTAGGTTAACTGGAATAACACTGATCTAAAACCTTCTTAATCCTTGTTGTGATATTTGTTGAGACATGAAGTAGGATTCCTAAACTGCAGTCCATGGGCCCTTGAGATTCATGAATGCACTTTACAAGGGGCCTTAATTGTGTGCATCTGTGTGTCTGTGTGTAGTTCCCATAGATTCATATTGTGCATTTTGGATGGAGTATTCTCTCACTTGTATTCAAAGGTGTTCATAAATCCAAAATGATTAAAAAACACTGGAGTTAAAGAAAACTTTTCCTCAGAATAGATAAATTCTGATAAAAAGGATGTTATCATCTACCAAATAATCCCCCTAGGGAATGTTTCAGTCAACTGTGTTACTTAGGAATCATTCATGATTAAGTTCATAGAACCATATTTAGAAAAACAAAAACCACAAAATTGCCAGATGGATATATTGGACAAAAACCTTACTGAGAAGAATCAGTAAGATTTTCAAAATTTGTTTGCTCAGGACATAAGGAGAAACTGACTATTTCATATCAAATTATATCATTTATATCAAATTAAACTAATTAATAGAGCCTTATTGGAAAAGTGGAATAATTTTTTTTTGGCAAATGTATTCATTTCTTCCCACAGGGAAAAGATTTCCTTAATTATAAAAACTGAGAAACTTAATTATAAAAGTTGAGAAAATTTTTTCCATTTTAGGCGTTAGAGACTATTGTGTTTTAAAAGTTTATTGATTAATATAAGAGAGAAAGAGAGAGAGAGAGAGAGAGAGATCAGTGTGCATCATAGCTATCAATTTGTTGTTCTGTTTACGTGTGTATTCATTGGTTGATTCTTGTATGTTCCCTGACTCAGGATTGAACCCACAATCTTGGTGTATCAGGACGATGCTCTAACCAATTGAACTACCTAAACAGAGCTAGAAATTATTTCTTATCTGTTCCAGTGTTTGCATTTTTCCAATGAATTATTGATATACTTATTAAGAGTATAATTTTTCCTGATATGTTGATGTTCACCCATGTACTTTTGTTCTTCCTTGTTTCAAGAAAGGAAGTATTGAAGTGCTAAGGCATACCACCAGTTTTAAAATGCAGTACTTTAGAATTTAACTTTTTCACGAGCAAGGAAATTAATATTTACTTTATATTCTTAACTTACTCTACATTATCAATACGAAAATGAATTAATAACAAACAGATCTGTATTTAACAGATTATATATGTATTTTTTTTTTGTATGTTTGTATGTTTTGTTTTTTATCTATTCCATAGGAATTTTGGTCACATCCAATAGAGAGACTATAATAGAGAAACCTAGAGCAAATGAAGCCAATATTTCTTCAGAGCAATTACTACTAGGAAAAGAGGTATGTGGGGGGAAAAGGGAGTATTTCTTTATTCATATACTAGAGGCCCAGTACACGGATTCATGCACCAGTGGGGTCTCTCAGCCTGGCCTGCAGGGATCAGGCCGAAACTGGCAGTCCGACATCCCCCAGGGGTCACAGAGTGCAAGAGGGCACTCTGCAAGCAGTTCCTGTGTTGAGTGTCTGCCCCCTGATGGTCAGTGCGCATCATAGCTACTGGCCGGACGGCCACTCGGCCGGTCGCTTAGGCTTTTATATCTATACTAATAAAAGGGTAATATGCTAATTAGACCAGATAGACCGGACATCTTCCAGACATCCTTTCTAACAAAGCCGGGGGCATGGCCGGCCTGCAAACTGCCCAAGGCCCCTCGCCCAGGCAGGCCCCTCACAGCGGGGGGACCCCCACCCTGATTGGGGGCGTGGCTGGCCTGCAAACCTCTGGTGCCCCCAAGTTCAGGTTGCCCTGCCCCCCAGCAGGGACCCCCACCCTGATTGGGGGTGGGGCTGGCCTGCAAACCACTGGAGCTGTCACTGGAGCTGTCACTATGAGGCACACTGACTTCCTCTTGGTCCCTTTCCCCAGCTGGCAAGCTCTGATCACCTGATGGGCAGGCTCTGATCGCCTGATGGCCACCCGTGGCAGAGGTGGGGCCAGCGAGCAGGCAGGAATAGCAGACCTCTCGGTTCCTTCCCCCAGCCATCAGGCACTGATCACCCAATGGCGAATGAGGAACCGGGAGTGGGTGGTGGCGGGGGGTGGGGCCAGCTGCGGGCAGCTGGGGAAGATGGCCCTGATCACAGGCCAAGAGTAGAGACTGTACATGTGCACGAATTTCGTGCACCGGGCCTCTAGAGTATAGATAAAAGCATCATCCTATGTCTGTGAATCTGTTATAAATAAAAATGTCTTGCGTTTTCCCTTTGACAGTAAAAGAAATAATTCTTGGTTGAAAATTGGCTTATACATTTTGATGAAAATTGAATAGATACACTGCTCTCTTGCACAATCTGTTCCATGGACAGATTGAGAGGAGGGAGCTGGAAGTGAGGAGGTCTTTGTTCTCATTCCAACTCAGGGTCTACACTTTGAGAATCTGGACTGTAGATAATTGCTGAAAAGGGAGAAAATGGAGATTCAAAAAGAAAGGAAAGAGGAAGTAATAGTTTGAACTGGTCTCTTAGTTTAGCGTGTCCAGCATCTCCTATTTGTGCTCAGATCCATTACCACTCTTCCGCTGCTCTGTTCTGTATTATAGAGAATTACATCTTCCAGGCTTCCTTGGTTACTAGGAAAGTTTGGCCAATGAAAAGCATTGATGGAAAACCTGGATGGTAGATGTTAGAGAAAAACCCGAGTATTTCTTCCCCTCCCTTGTTTTAGAGAATATCTTTATTTATTTTTATTTTTAGTATATCTTTAGTAGTAGTATCTGTGACTCCTTCATTTCCTCCATGGGCTCTGCTCCCACCACACAATCCTCCCTCCATGATTCCAGTTGCAGCTAGCAGTCTTGCCTTTAGCTTTGACTGGTGGCCCCACAAACTGTATTCCTATAGATAGTCCCTTTTCTTTGTTCCTCCAGCCCTTGGAGTAATAATGGCTTCCTGCTGCATTCATATCTGTGTTGCTTCACAACCCATGGTTTGGCTCCACACAATTTCATCACCTTAGTAAACTACATTAACTTTTGTTTTCCTGTTGAAATACCTAGAGTGGTTTCTATTTTCTGAGTGGACCTTGACTAATAATAGGGAAACATTTAAAAAGGTATAGGGACATAGGATTTTAATAGGTTCAATTTAGAAAGCAAGAACAATACTCAGGAAACTGCAAAGTTATACATTATGCTTTAACCAAAAGTCAGAGTAAGTATTAAGAAATTAGCCCTGACCGGTTTGGCTCAGTGGATAGAGTCTGCGGACTGAAGGGTCCCAGGTTCCATTCCAGTCAAGGGCATGTACCTTGGTTGCGGGCACATCCCCAGTGGGGGGTGTGCAGGAGGCAGCTGATCAATGTTTCTCTCTCGTCATTGATGTTTCTGGCTCTCTGTCCCTCTCCCTTCCTCTCTGTGAAAAATCAATAAAATATATTTTTAAAAAATTAAAAAATGAGAAAAAGAAATTAGCATTAGGGCGATGGAAGAAAGGGATTCAACAGGTACTTACTTTATGCACAGAACAGAAAGCCACATTATTTCCTCTTTCTTCTTGGATCAACTAGTAAATATTCTCTATTTTAACTGAAATATTTTTGGCACCAAACATCAGATGAGAAGAGTAGAAGAAAACAAACACTATTTTATGAAAACAAATAGACTTCTAGGAGGGCATTTGAGTAGTAAAGATTTTCAGTTTTCTTTTTAAGAGCAGCTATTAATGTGCTTGGTTTTCTATATTTTGAAAAGAGAATTCAGAATGGCCAAGATATTTTAATCACATATAAGTTATCATGGACTAGGCTAATCATCATTGTACACACACACAAAAATTACCACTGCAGCCATGGCAATTACTGGCAACTTTCACCAGAATATATTTTCTTGGGTGAATGAATGAATGAATGAATGAATAATTTTAATGGACTGATATGACTTCATTGAGAGAACAAAAACAGAGTTTTGTTGTTGTTTTTAATTTTCATGGAGGTGATTTTTTTTTTTTTTGCATTTTTGTCATAAATGTGTCCCAAGAAATACTATTCTAGTACAGGACTATACCCATGGTACTTCTAAAGTTTCACTTGTTAGAAAGGAGATTATATGAGCTGAGTAGATTAAAATACTGAATAATTTTGTGTAAAATAAGATGAGAAATGTGTTCTAAGGCCCTCTGATGTTAAAGGTCCAAATAAACTTTAGAAGTTCAATTACAACTTAATTATAAGCATCATGAGAATGAAAGCCATTCTTTCTGATCATAGAATCATGGAATAATAGAATTTTCATTCTAGAAGAAGAATCACCTTCATTACTTTGTACAGTATATACAAAAAGCATTAAATTAATGCTGAATGGGATGTGTGTGCAAGAAAATGAAGCTAATGATAATAATCTTAGTAATTTTAGACTGAAAGAGACCATAGAAGTCATTGAATTTAGCTCTTATATTTCTAACAAAAAAGTTGAGACCTAGGAAAATAAGTAATTTAGTCAGTGATATTGAACCTTAAGGTCTTCTGAAGTTGGAGTAGGTAAATTATTGCTATTAACAAGATTACATTAAACAGGGAGTTAATTCTAAGCATAGATTCAGCCTACTACCTATAAAGCTTTTAGTACTATAGAGAACATTAGAGGACTTGGGGGAGATAATACATTCATAAATATATTGCCATATGAGACAAAGACCAAAATTAAAAAAAAAAAAGTACCAGTGTCCACTCCAGCCTCGCTGTCTCCCAACACACAGAGTAATGCAGATTGTTTTAATTTTTCATTTTCTGAAACAAAGTAGTGCCATGTACCAGTCTGTGAGTGGAGAAACTAAAATTCTAAAGATGTAAAAATCTGGAAAGGTGCAGTGGTGTATTTTCTGTGAGAAATTTGTATTTCTTATTGCTATTTTTTCACTTGTCTGGATTTCTGAGAGTGAAAAAGAAATAAAAGATTGAATATAAAATGCTGTCTTATGTTGCAATACTTGTTAACAATAAGCTATAAAAAAAGACTATAAAAATCTAATTTAGACTTTATTAAATATATTGAATTTAAAGTTTGCTTTATGTGATAAATAGTAAGAGTAACTTTCAGCTCTCATAAAGATGGTTTTATTGAACTATATTTAAGAGATTAAATTTTGAAAAAAGTTTTTTATTAAATCCACTGATGAATTAAAATGAAATGTCAGTATATTACTGTGTGTAAAGAATGCACATGTTTTTCTATATTGCTTTATTCACTGGGTAATATTTTTTAGGTTGTAAGAGTGCCTTTTACAGTTTATCAAAGAATACCTATATTCAACATGCTGAATGAAAATAACAACTTTATATTTATATAACAGCAGAAACACTTGTTGTTGAATTAAGATGAATATGACTTCATATACATCTATATTTCAGACTACTCTACTAGATTTTGACTGGAGAAGTGCATTTAAAGAAGTGTCTCTTCCCATGGCACACTGTATAACGACAGCAATAGAAGATTTTTCCATAAAAATTCTCCAACAGGAGCACAATGAAAGGTCTTCAGCTGTGACCTATGCTATGAACCTTATAAATGTCCAACAAGTTTGGCAAGACAGCTGTGTGGCCCCTGAGGAGGACCAACCAAAGAAAATTGCAAAGGCAAGAATCAAATGAAATCCTTTCAAAACTGTATGTAGATCGGCATAAAGAGTTTTGTTGTTGTTTTTTTAATATAAGCCATTGCAAAGGGGAACATGGTGGAGCCTCTTGGCAAATACCTAGCACTGAACCCAGTACCAGTTGTTTTCTCTGGTATCATGGGCCACTGCTGGTGAAAAGGACTTAAACCTGTTACTACCTGTTGCTCCATGAGTCTTGGGCAACTAAAGAGGGGGCCTCTGTGACTTCCTGGGGACCTGGGAAAATGCTTGCTTGGGTTTATCTTTTTTATAATTAGTATTTTAAATCCTTATTGTAGAGAGTATTACTGATGCTCCCCCTTTTTCCCCCCTGTTGCCCCCCTCCACCCGGTCTCTGCCTGCCCCAGGCCTTCACCACCCTACTGACTGTGTCCATAGGTAATGCATGTATGCATATAAGATCTGTGGTTAATCTCTTCTCACCCACCTCCCCACTTTGAATGACTTCACTAGACATTTAGGAGATTGAAGGAGTTACTGTCTTTTATTGGTTTAGGCAACTTTTAAATCTTTGTTTACCCCTAATGAGCACTGCATTTCATTAGCATCAGTCTGACATGTTTACATGTGCTTTGAGAATCACAGAACATAATGAGAAAATACAAAGTCATCATGCAAATAGATAAATACCGTTACTCAGTATGAAGCCCACACTGAGTTCAGCAACCTATAATTTAAGTGTTTTTTAAAAGAGAGGTCTCAGAGATGGCCTCCTATTCTGCTACTGCCACCCTGAAACTCCAGAACATTCCACAGGGAACACCATTGGCTAATCTGGAGTAGAGGCAAGTTTTGACTTCTTATCCACCATACTTTCTCTGACATTAAGAAGTAAATTCATAATAACTAGTGAAAAGCTACACATATTACTTCTAAAAGTTGCTGACTCCTTACCAATAAGAGGATGCTACATGAGGTTATTTCTGGTGCTTCTTGATTTAGTTAAACTGATATAACCTTATTTTAATGTGATGACTAATAAGCACATTTTATGAAAATTTAGCAAAAGAAAATTAAAAGAAATTCAAAAATAATCCAATTGTATTAATATCAAGGGTACTTTTTTTTTTTTAGCTCTATTAACTGCAAATAAAACTGTTGTCATGTAAAGTTACTTCCTGAGTTTTTCATGATGTCTGCAAGGTAATCTTTTTGGTATTTCTTTATCTGACAGTTAACTTTCTACAATCAATTACTATACAGTTGTGTGATTATATTTATGTTTGATGCCAAATTCATTATTTAGGAATTTGGCTCCCCTGTACATAAATTACACGGTGCTGTCAGAATACCAATAACTCAGTGCTGCATTCATTTCTCCCTAGTTTTGTTCTGACATCATGGAAAAACTTGACACAATGCTTCCACTGGCTCTGGCATGCAGCGATGATTCTTTCCAGGAAATTAGAGCACACTTTGTGGAGGCCTGTTGTAAAGTGGCAACAGCTGTCCTGGCGAGACTGCAAGAGAGAAGCCAGGAGTTTCCCTCCCAAGCTCCCCTGGAAAACCTGCACACCGTGCTCTCCACAGCGGTGTATGTCTCCCAGCATTTTACTCGATATGATAATTTGATGAAAGAAAATACTAACAAGTAAGTGCCATTTATATTAAGTGGATGGCCATGTTTACAGTAATGTGTAATCCTTGAATATCACAGGAGTGAAATTTTGATGATGGTCTTTGAGGAGAAAATAATAATTAACATGGTGAATTATTTTCATTTGTCTTGACTAGGAAATGTCAAAAAGGTGGAGCAAGGGATATATTAAACCAGATGCATAGATTCTAAGAAAGATATATATTTTTCTAAAGGTTCATTCAAAAGACCCATGCATTTTCCACATTTTAATCAGCAGCAATGATTTTCTGCATGCTGTTATGACATGACCGAATATGTTTTACCTTGTGAGGCACAAGGTACTGCCTACACTGTAAAGGGAAAATAAACTTATTTTTGTCTCATGTATACACAGTTAGGAAATATGCATGCCTCTCTTTTGTTTCAAAGTCAACAGGATGTTGGGAGCTGACATAGAAAATAAATGCATTTCAATCTATTCTATTGACTAATGTGAACATATTTCAGAACATCAGTTTAGTGATAAACTACCTTTAATATTTGAGGAGAAAGCACCTGGCAGTCTTAATTCTCACGTATTAGTACTCTAAAAAGATTATATAGATGTACAGAAAATAAAAATGACCACGGGTATTATCACATGGCCTTCCTGGCTATCCTTGTACTCTCTAGAGCAGTGGTTCTCAACCTTGGCTGCACATTAGAATCACCTGGGAATCTTTTTAAAATCCTGATTTCTGAGCCTCATCCTCCGGAAATTCTGTTTCTTTGTTATGGGGTGGGGCCACAACATTAGTAACAAAGAAACAGAATTTCTGGAGGATGAGGCCCAGA